GATGATGATGAAGCCACGTGCACCCCAACAGATTCTTGATAGTGATTTCTATGGATTGAACATTCAACGTCTGCTGCTGGCTAACAACTCAATAAGTGAGTCCCGGTGTTGTTGTTGTGTGTTGTTGTGTTGTCGTTGTTCTGTTAGTGATGTTGATTGCTGCTGTTGTGTTGTTGTTGTGTTGTTGTATTGTAGTTGTTCTGTTAGTGTTGTTGATAGCTGCTGTTGTGTTGTTGTTGTGTTGTGTTGTTGTATTGTTGTTGTTCTGTTGGTGTTGTTGATTGCTGCTGTTGTGTTGTTGATGTGTTGTTGTATTGTAGTTGTTCTGTTGGTGTTTTTGATTGCTGCTGTTGTGTTGTTGTTGTGTTGTCGTTGATGTTATGTTGTCGTTGTGTTGTTGTGCTGTTGTTGTTCATTTCTGATGTTCACATATTTGTTTGAGTCATTCATAAGTTCGTTCGTGTGGATGAAAGTGTTAATTGTTGTGTTTAAACTGAGGAGATTCGAGAAGCATGAAGGATGTTGTTTTCATTTAAGATGAAGATGACGATGATGGTGAAGAAGACGACGATGATGATGGTGATGAAGATGATGATGGTGGTGAAAGTGGTGATGATGGTGAGGAAGATGATGATGATGAAGAAGATGATGATGATGGTGATGAAGATGATGATGGTGACGAGGTGGTGATGATGGTGAGGAAGAAATTTTAGAAAATCTAAAATTCGAAAGAATTTTTACGGTCCCCGTCATCAATCATCATAACGTCCACCACGAAATTTATTCTACATTTTGACTTTTATCACATTACTATCGCTACACTATCATCTGATCATAATCATCCACACCATCATGATATCATCATCATTATGATATCAACATCACAACCATCATGTCATCACCATCATCATCACCACCATCATCATCATCATCATCTTTTTACCATCATCATCCTCATCATCACCATCATCATCACCACCATCATCATATCACCACCATCATCATATTATCATCACAATTATCATCACCACCATCATCATATCATCACCATCATCATGATATCATCACAATTTTCATCACCACCATCATCATCCTCATCATCACACCATCACCACTCAGGTGAGTTGAGACCCCTTTCATTTTGGGGGCTGGGGAATTCCCTGGAAACCCTAGATCTCAGCTACAACAAACTTAGGTACGTTTCATATATCTTCCATGGATTAATTAATTAATTAATTAAATAATTAATTATTTAATTAAATATGTATTCATGCACGCAAGCCTGCATATATATATTCATTTGTATTCCTCTATTAATGCGATAAATTTTATTTCAAAATGAATCAATGATATACAGGTGACATGTCAATCATTTGGTCAATCAACACACTAATCAATTAAACAATCAATCAATCAATCAATCTATCAATCAATCAATCAATCAACCAACCAACCAATCAATCAATCAATCAAACGTCTAATCATTCAGAACATCATGTATTTAATATATCAATGAATCAACTAAATAACTGATGAACTAAGTGATCAACCAATTAAATAATTAACTCAGTGATCTATTACATAATCATTAATTAATTGATCAATCAATTAAATATTTAACTAAGGGATCAATTAATTAATTAATTTACTAGATGATCAATTAAATTAATCAACTAATTAGTTATCTAACTATGTATCAATTAAATAAGTGATCAATCAAATAAATAATTAATTAATTAAATGATCAATCAATTAAATAATCAATTAACTAAGTGATTGACCAATTAGAAAAGTTCCAAATGAAGCGCTGAAGTTGTTGATCAAACTGAAGACACTTGTCTTAACTGGGAATGCCATCCAATCCATTGGACCCCACGAACTCGGGTGAGTTGGTCACGAAATTGCTTATGTCATTATTATTATTATATTATTATTATTATGTTATTATTATTATATTATTAATTAAATTGGTAAATATGTTTTTGCTATTTTAATCTTTAATCACTCTTATAAATGGAAATTAAATAACTAGAATTAGTGCGACTTGGCTTCAGAATGCTGTCATTAGCATTGATTTTTTTTATGGTCATAGTTGAATTTATTGGCTACAACACTACCATCACAACTACAACCACCACTCCCAACTTCAAAACCACCGCCATCCCCACCACCACCGTGCAGTTTCATGAAATCTCTGGAAGTTCTGACTCTGGACAAGAACCCCATAACCTCCATCCATCCCTCCTTCATCAGCGGCTCCAACAACTTGAACCTCCTCAGTCTAGATGCCATCAAACTGGATAAGAAACTGGAGAGTGTGGCTGCCATCAATGCCAACAACGTTAAAGGTCCGTGGAATGAACTTCAGTGCATCTGCACTCTTTGGATTTGGATTGCTGCTGGTTGATTTGTTTGATGAGTGGAATTCACGGTAGGTGGTGGATAATTAGTTGACAGAAATTGAGTTTATTAAATAAGTGTGAGATGATATCCTCATTGGTATTATTTTTTTCAAATTTTTAAGTAGAAATTATTTGAACCATTTTTAAACATCACCGAAGAATTGTTTATATGCCGTGTGCAACGATCGGATGATTTCAATTATACTGATAGTAAACTAAAAAAATATTAGTTTTTAAATTAATTTATTAAAAAAGATATGCAAAAATAAATATTTTTAAAATTATGACGTAACGTGAAAACAACTATCCCTCCCCCTCAATCAGGTCTGTCCCTAACCCGCAACCACCTAACTTTCCTCCCCCCACGATGGGGCGTCAACTTCACCTTACTCACCCTACTCAACCTAGGCCACAATCGGCTCGGTGACGTCATCAAAATGGAGGATTGCTTCGTCGGGATGGAAAAAAGTTTGAAAAATCTAGACCTGCATAGCAATCACTTTCTCAAGGTATCATCATTTTTTTTCTTCTCGTCACCTTCAAATAAATATTCGCCGTCAACATTAAATTGCCTCGTTTGTTGTTCAAACTTTGAAAAGTGTCTCTAAAATCATATAATAATAGTAAATAATAATAATAAATTTATAAAAATAATAAATAATAAAAAAATAATGGTCGTGTAGGATAGTAACGAATGGTTTGTCATGTTTCTATCAAAACCACATAATGCACAACTCTAACCATCATTATCTTATAAACTGCTAATTAAACATACTTCGCAAGTCATTATAAGTTATAGTTGTTAAACTTGAAAACATTGCGAGATTATTCTCCATAGAATAGCAAACGGTATGAACATCTGCCTTGTCGATTGCATACATTTTCATCAGATTCCCTCGAAGGCGTTGAAGCCACTGTCGGTACTGACGGCTCTGGACCTGAGCCACAACAAGATCAGGAAGGTGAAGAGGAGGTCACTGAGGGGTCTGCAGGCGCTCGCCAGTCTCGACCTCAGCCACAACAAGATTAAGGAGTATGTCGGTCGATGGACGGATGGATGGATGGATGGACGGATGGATGGATGGATGGATGGATGGATGGATGGATGGATGGATGGATGGATGGATGGATGGATGGATAAAATGGTTGATGGATAGATAGATGGACGGATGAATTGATGTATGATGGGGTAGGGTGGATAATGTGAATTTGAATGGAGAAAAGGATGAGAAGATGGTTGAACTGAAAATCATTAAAAAATCTGATCACTATATATTTCTAAAATTGACCAACGTAGCAAACGCAAAATGGTTTAACCATGCTTTAATTTTATTCACGTTAATGCACTTACGATCAACTTTGAGAAATTCCGGAAAAATATTTGAACAAATATGACCTTGCAAATTCATATTATCACTCTAACCAGGATAGGTAAGAAGGCATTTGTTGGTTTGGAATCTTTGTACAAGCTGGACCTGAGGTTCAACCACTTATTTTCGCTAGACGAGAGAACATTTAGAGGACTAACGAGTCACAATCTAGCAAGCAGCCAGCAAAATAACATTGCGAGTCCTAGGCAGATGGTTGAAAATTTTTGTTTATGAAAAAAATTTAAGACATTGATTTCAATGTTTATATATTTTTTAAAATGTTTTTTATCATTCTCAAGATCATCCATCTGAGCAATAAAACTTGTCAAAGCTTTACCATGTTAAATCAATAAAATCATTGGCTATCTTAAACCTAAAAAATCATTTGCTACAAAACATAATGGATATTTTCATCACCAAATTATGCACCACCACCACCTTCACTCAGCAAGTTTCCATCAGCAACAATCCCTGGCTATGTAACTGTCTCCTAGCCTGGATCAAAAGGTCAATCCTCCAATCGCAGAACGGTAAGTTACTGTCAGACCTGACATCTGGCGAACAAAGAAAAAAAAGAAAAAATTTCTTCGATGAAAGGTATCCAATCGGTTATAACGCTGATAACAACGACGTCACAAGCCACAATTTGTACTACCACAACAAACATGACGTCAAGTTTAACAACATCCTGGACATATTCGCCGACATCCCCATCTGCCACAGACCCTCGCTTATAAAGGGTCTTCCTCTCTCCAAGGTCAACGATAATGACCTTCACTGCAATCACGATTACTACTACTATGCGGACGATGACGATGTGGGCGCTACCACAGCAACCACCACTACCGCTAAAATGGGCTTGAGTAGAGTTTCCAATAACAGTTTAACGAAATAACGTTAAATAAATGAATATGCGAGTTTAAGTGTGTCTGGTTGGTGTTAGTGTAACCAAAGATGTATTTATTAAGCTGATGATAATTTGTTGTGTTGTGTAGTTTATTTTTAATGTTCTTCAAAAGTATCAGAAGTGATTTTGGTTCACGAAATACAAACTCCAAACAATGTAAATAAACAAATATTTAAAATAAATTAAAACTATTTTTGTAAACTTTTATAGCCATGTTTAGTATCAAACTAAAGTTTGATGTTGTCGCTTTTGTACACCAACCATACATCGGTCATAATGTGATCAATGATGATTTTTAAAATAAAACTATAAAACAAATTTGAAGTTTAGTTTATTGTTATTGTAGATATTAACATCTCATTATCAACATATCAATTGGCCCAACAAATTTCGTGTTGGTATAAAGTCAAAACCATTTAAACTTTTCAATTACGATACGATACGATACGATAAACACGGTAAGTTTATTTAACATTAGTTATCAATAATTACCAGCAAATTTCTTAAAAATTAATCGCAATTTTCAAGCTTCCGACATTTCTGGAGTCTCACAAAGTTTTGTAAACCTCTTTATTCCGGTTCACTCCTCGGACAACAACGTAAAAAGCAACATGCCAACATTCATTGGTGTGACCACTTCCTTGCTGCTTAACTCACTCCACACGATGTACCTTAAGTTGCTTGCAGACCTGCACGCACAAACCTCGCCTCATTTATTCGGCTTGTATAATAAATAATCTGTGAGATCGAACCGAGTTAATAATAGCAATGATAAAAAATTTCTTAAATTTCTTGAAGAGTGGTCATGTCGTAATTCAATTAAACCATGGTCCTAATGGTACTACAATGCTGAAGAGTGGAGTTGTAACAGGATGTGATCGGGTTGTTGCGCTGACGCATCTGTCTTACTTACTAATATTTTAAAGATGTCAAATCACGAATGACTCCGTACAATTGGTAGATCATGTTATAATACTCGGCAACTTTAAAGACGATGACGATGGTCGTAATCATCACGTGATACTCGAATAAAAAAAAACTTCAAAGAGATACGGGCATTTGTCTATTCATCAATCGTTCTATCCATATATTCATTCATCAATCTGTCTATCCATTCGTTCTTTATTCACTCTGTCTTTCCATATATTCATTCATCAATCTGTCTATCCATATATTCATTCATCAATCTGTCTGTCCATTCGTCAATTATTCACAATTATTCAGTCTTTCCATATATTCATTCATTAATCTGTCTATCCATATATTCATTCATTAATCTGTCTATCTATATATTCATTTATTTACCAATCTGTAATAAATTGCAGTGTCTGTTTTCTATCTTATCATTCATCCTTTTCATTCATTCATTCGCCTTATCGTTCGTTCATTCCTTTCATGTGGATCTTTAAAGTTAAACACAAGATCATTAATTATGCATAATTTTTGTCTTTAATTCTTTGTTCAGTGGCCTCTATGTTATATGTATCTATGCTTTTTTAATTGCAGTTTGTTTATTAATATTATTTTTCGAAGTATTTATTTAGTTTTTGGGCGACATTGGTTGTTAGGTTATTTGGTATTTTTGGCTATTAAATAATTTGGTGTCTTTGATTGTTATGTTATTTGATGTTTTTGGTTATGTTATTTGTTTATTTTTGTGTAGATGTCGCTTCGTTCTTTTGATGATTTTTGTTTGAAGCTGGTATCATTAATCTTTCGGATCGGATTTATTGAAGTTCAAAGTGAAGTGTGAACAAAGGAAACTTCTTTACAATGAATATAAAATAATAATAATATTATTATTATTATTAACAACAGTAATATAGTTATTTAAAAAACAATTATAATAATTATTAACGTTAAAATAATTTTTTACCAAAATTTTACACGACTCGCATAAATAATTTAAAAATGACACAAAAGTTCCGCGTCGGTATTTTACCCATAATGAAAAAAAAAAGATTAAACAAAATGCTTAACTAAAAAATATCATTTTAACACACAAACTACACAAGCAAACACACACACGCACACAAACAAATGCACGCACGCACGCACACAAACACACACATATATTTATATGTGTGAGCTTTTTTATGCAAAAGAAATTGCGAAATGGAAATATAAAATCTATACACAGCTATAACTGATGATGTTTACTAGGAAGTAGCATGAATACAAATATCAGTGATTAGATGAATTTAAAAAACGATGGTGATGATGATGATGATGATGATGATGATGATGATGATGCTGAACAGAAATATGAGTAGAAATTATGTTCTTTGACGTTGACAGTTCTTTCTTAGACATTATTCTAAAGTTTAAGATTCAAAACATTGTCACAATATATACCACAATATATATATACAACATCTGTTAAATTCCTCAACACGTATGCTGGATATATGAATGAAACATTAATACATTTGTTTAATGCTTCAATACACGGATAACGCATCATTATGTAGCTACTCCTAATACACCAATACACTTGCTTAAGGTATATTTTTACATGAATACAAGAATATAAAAAAAAAGTTCAATTCATTACCTGTACATCTTTAACAGGTCAGTATATGTTCATTACAATAAGACAAATGTTTACCACCTTATTGCACTTTCTCTCTCTCTCTCTATATATATATATATATATATATATATATAATGACATATAAGTATATATATATATATATATATCATTTTACGCGCCAAGAGTGTCAATACAGATGAATGGATGAAAATAGAGGACGAAGAGTTGAAGAAATGAATTTAATTTATTAAGTGTTGATGTTCGTACTGCTTGTTAGTTTACATTTTAAAGTTGTTCACACGTCATTACAAATGTTTACAATGCTGTTCATTCCCATCTAACTTAGGATTAGCAAAGAACAAAAAAAAGCGTTATTCATTTTCGTTGAAACTGCCCTGCTGTTCCATATCTTTTCTATTCTTTGGTCTCCTTCGTACGTTGTTGCTGTTGTTTCTATGCTTCATTTTTCTGGATCTGGAAATCGGTTCATGGGAGGTGGTCGTTGTTGGGGGTGGCGTAGTAGTTGTGGTGGTTGTAGTAGGGGTGCTCGTTGTAGCAGTGGTGGTGGTGGTGGTAGATGGAACGCTGTTGATGACGTTGTTCTTATTGAAGAGTTGGTCGTAATAATTGATGCTATCAATATTTTGTGGCTGCTTCGCGGGCTTCTTCCTGTTTATTTTGTTTGCTGCTTGTTGGTTTCTGTTGTTGTGGTTGTTCTTTTTGGGACGTCTGCTGGCCACAACGCTCGCGCAGCTGCTACTATCGACGCTCCTCTTCAACATTTTCAACAACATTTTCACGCTGTGGCTTTCCTTGTCGTACTTCATAACGGACGACAAAACAAGTTTCTCAACATTTTTGTTGTTGCGCATGTTGTTGCCAACAATATACTTGTTGTCGTTGTCGTAGTCAACGACGCGACCAACCACCAGCAGCTTCTGGTCGCTCTTATTGTTCTTCTTATTTTTGTTGCTCTGTTTTGGAGAAACGGTTGCTAGCAGTACGTTCAGATCATAATTGTTGTTGTTCCTTATCTTCTGGTTGCTGGCATAACCTTCTACATCAAAATCTTCACTGTCTCCATCGTTATCTTCCTTCTCGTCAACATGACCATTCTCACGATGGCTCTCATTCAGAACATCATTCTCAGCGAAGAAGTGGTACACAACATTTTTCTTGTTGCTGTTGTTGTTGTTGTCGTGGTCAGTTGTTGGTAGTTGTTTGAGGAAGTTGACGTTGTTCGAGCTGATCCTGGACACCCCTCTGCCGATGACCTTCACCTTCGTCGGGGACAAGGTCGCGACTGGAAAGAATGAACTTTCACATTAGAGCATCAATTAAATTTACACCAATTTTAATTACTAAAGATAATTAATCTAATTAACTTGTTGAAATAAAAAAATAAAATAATAAAACTAACCAAAGTCAGCTCTGCATAGGAGATTCTTCAGTTCATTTCGCTCTGTTGAAAAAAAATTAATTATTATTTTATTATTATTATCGTTGTGGTTATTATTATTAATTGATGCTTACGTACAAAAAAATGACTTCTATCCAAAATACGAAACATATATACTGGTAAAAAAATGGTGAATTAATACTGATAGCATGTATAACTGAATAATGTTAACAGAGATTGAAATCCCACACAGACATAAACTTGCAGAATAAAATTGTAGACCTCTTGACAATAACTTCAGCAGAACAAACATTTTAACTCTTTTCGAGCAGCACAATAAACAAATAAAAGTTAATATTCATCCAACATACTAAAAAATTTAAGTATATACCACTCGCCGGTTCATTCATTCGTTGGTTCATCGTTTATTCATTCATTCATTCATTCATTCATTCATTCATTCATTCATTCATTTGAAATTTGCGTTTCCATCCATCCACGCTGTGTTGTCACAGAACCACAAACTTCCATCTCATCATTATCATGATGCACCCGCACTTACAAATGCATTTGAATAATGTTAAAATCTCAAATCACACATGTGTAACATTCACACACCAAACATATTGACGCATACAAACACACACACACACACAACACACACACACACGTATAAGTTTCGTACGTGTTCAAATATAAATAAGAATAAATTTATGAATGTAAAGCAAACACAAAGTGTGTGAATGCGTGTAGCACAACAGATTGTTGAAATTGTATATGGCCTCACCCTACCATGAGTTGCCTAAATCATCAGGCGAAGAATGATTTTAAAAATTCAAGCAAAAGAAATTGAAGAAATTGTTTATAAACAATAAATTTCACTAAATCAGGCTAAGAGAGAGAGAGAGAGAGAGAGAGAGAGAGAGAGAGAGAGAGAGAGAGAGAAATTGAGTCGCATCATTTGGAATGTGTGAGAACGTTTCTGAAAGCTTCTTAAGGGGATTGAAAATGTTTGAAAGTAATTCAGAATTCTCTTTCTTGCCTGCTTATCTTTTTTGTAGCAAATTTAGATAATTAAATTTGTTTATTCAAAGCAATTTAAGTTAAGTGGCATTAGAATAGACGCTAATGCTGTAATATCATTCACAAACGTGAACGCGGAGGTGGAGAGAGAGAGAGAGAGAGAGAGAGAGAGAGAGAGAGAGATGTGTAACGTAATACGAAAATACAAACTAAACAATAAATTCTACCATTCTATAAAATTGTATATACTAGCAAGATGTGTTGTGAAACTAATGGCATTTGATCAACGGATACAATCAACCAGTGGTATGGATGAAATACGAAAACTTAAAAAGCATACAAAAATATACAAAAACATACAAGGGCATACAAACATACAAAACCACACTAACATACAATGGCATACAAATATACAAAGGCTTACAAACATACATAGTCGTATAAAGACATACAAACATACAAAAGCATACAAACATACAAAAACATACAAACATCTGTTAAACGAAAGAAACATAAACAAACTGCAAGTGACATTTTAATGACTGGAGCACACAAGAACCAACATTTTACACTCTGCCTCAGGGAATTTTTACATCGAAAGAATTTTATGTTGTTGTTGTTACTATTTGTTTGTTGTTGTTAATTTTGTTTTTGTTTGTTGTTGTTGCTGATGTTGTTGTTGTTATTTGTTGTTTTTGTTATGTTGGGTCGTTGTTTGTTTGTTGTGTTGTTTTTATGTTTGGTTGTTGTTTATTTGCCTTTTTAACATTGTTGTTCGCTCCGTAAAATAGTAAGTTTAAATTCTGGTTGTTGTAATATTTTGTTGTTGTTGTTTTCATTGTTTTGTTGTTATGTTAATGCTACTTACGTGTTGTGTTGGTGTTGTTGTTTGTTGTATTCCCAGAATGTTTTCAGCGCGAACATATTATTTGAATCGTAAGAATAGATACAAATAAACATGTAAATAATACTAGAATATTAATAATGAATAATAATAAGCAGGTCTCAATCTTAAGTTTTAAATGTAAAAAAAATAACAAAAGATATACATACTTTCTTTTTCCTTCATGATGTTGTTCATCTTGTTGCTCTTCGAGTTACCAGCATTGTTCTTGTGCTGTTGGTTGTGTCGTTGATGATGTTGTTGTTGTTGTTGATGTTGTTGTTGTTGTTGATGTTGTTGTTTGCCGACCGCATCGTCACTGTTGTCGCCGTGCCTTCCTTTCTTCAGTTTATTTTTATTTCTGTTTCCCTGGTGCATGATGTTACCATCGTCAGCACGGCCGTCATAGTTGTGGTTGCTGTTCATGTTGTTGTTGCTGTCCAGTGGTCTATCGAAACCATCACCATCTGCATCATGTGCATCGTTCCTGTCGACACTGAGACACATGTGGTGGTCGAGAGGCAGCTTGTTGCAGTCGAACATGTCGGGCCAGGCAAACCCGTGTCTCAGCATGGTCGGCTCGCAGCTGTCCTTCACCTTTTCGCAGAGGGACTTGCAAGGGTAGACCGTGGCATCCACGCAGACGGGGGCGAACATGGAGCAGAGGAAGATGCTGACGTGTTTGTGGCACTTCGTGTTGGCCAGTTGGATCCAGTGGGACGATTGTTCGATTATTTCTGAGAGGGCAAAATCTCCCATGAGGTTGGGGATCTGCATGGTGGTGTACCCGACGTTCCTACAAAGGGTCATGTTGTTGGGAATGTCGATGCACCGCTGCACGTTGTTGGTGAAGTGGTGGGGGTTGTTGTGCTGGAGGAGGGGGTAGGCGTCGAGGTTGGTGACGAGATGGACGAGGAGCAAGATGCTGAAAAGGTATTTCAACGAAGACATTTCGTTCAGCATTTTTATGTTGCTGTTAACTACGTTGGCAACGCTAATAAATTTCAGTCTTCTTCTTTCCTTTGAAATCCAAAACGAGTGTTGGAAAGTAAAATATAACGCTTTATTAATCCTCACGCGAAATATTCAATTATCCGCGAATAGTTCACAGAAATTTAAACAGAAGAATTCGAACACTTTGCAGCAACAACTTTGCAAACGTAGTGTCTCAGTAGCGTTAATTGTATCAACCAATTCATAGGGCAGGAGATTACAATAAAGTACGATAAGATCTGGTCCGACTTGAAACTCAAATTAATCTTCAGTTCATTGTACACTGCTTTATATACTACAGAGGCTCCGTGCGTTTGTGCGTATGTGCTTCCTATACATTAGTATATAGATGTATATATATATATGTATAAAGTTCTGACACAACTTTCTAACAATGGATTATATCCTTCGTTAAAACTCACGCGTCTGTGTGTCTTTACAACTACGTATGTGCGTTTGTGTGTGTATGTGTCTGTCTGTTTGTCTGTCTGCCAGTCTTTAATGTTTAGTATCTTATGCCCGCTAATCCTAATGGCTTACGCAGGCCAAATAGCGAACATTTGTAGAAGTAACTATAATTATAACAACAACATCATCAACAACAACATCAACAACATCAGCAACAACAACAACAACAACATCAAAAAGAGGTGCAGTACATTCCATTGAAAACAACGTCTAACAACACCACCAGACTACAACACAACAACATCAACAACATGCATGTATGTGATCATAAATTATTTTTATTAGACACTAATAATGTTATCAATTCAGAATGTTGTAACAATTACAAGGCCAACCAACAAACGAATGAACAAATGAAGAGATCATCTGACAAACAAACGAACAAACGAACGTACGAATGAAGAGTCGAACAGACGAACAAACAGACAAACAAACAAACAACTTGGCAAACACTTCACATCTCAGTGTAGGTGTCAGTTGTGTTAGATGCCCTTGTCAGTTTTATAAGGTGCTATATCTATTTAGCACTTTGCAATAATTGCTCCACTAATACACCAACACACACACACACACACGCACACATTAAATTGAGCACATAACAATACTGTATGTAAGTATGCATGGTGTTATGATTGTATGAATTGTCAGTTTTATGAATTTTATCAGCAACATGTTTGTTTATTAGAATTTTAAAGTTTATGAGTTTATTACTGAAATTTTTTATTTTTTTTTAATTTTTTTTGTAAAGTTGCTGGTTTTGAAGAATGAATTTTAAATAACTTATTTATTATTATTAAATTTATTTTTTGGTATTAGTATTAGTATTAGTAGTAGTAGTAGTAGTAGTAATAGCAGTAGTAGTAGTAGTAGCAATAGTAATAATAATAGTAGTTGCAGTATGATTAGTATAAATAATAATAATAATAATAATAATAATAATAATAATAATAATAAATAACATGAGAAGTAATAGTGTTACAATCTTTTTGCACCCTGTCAGGCTAACAATTTTCACTCTGATCATTTTTGTCCGTCTAAGCATTCAATGATTGTTTATGTCTTTGCATGATAAGGTTAATGCAAATTAGTTCGATATATTTTAAAATGCTAGTTTTCAAATGGAAGGATCTAATTATTTTTTAAGGATAGATTAACGATAAATATTAGTTTATTTTTATTGATTTTTTTTCTGTAAGAATATTCATATTTAATTTATTAAGACACAAATTAGGTTTTCACTCTGATTTATTTATTTAGGTTTTAGTTATTTCATTTTAAACTGGTTAATTCGAGTTGAAAATGCTTCTTTTAAAAACATGTTTGTTCTAATTCTCATTTTTTATATTATTAATTATTTAATTAATTAATTAATTAATTCATTAATTCATTCATTCGTATGCATTACGTTATATATGCGTTAGATTATATACATCCCTCTTTAACTCATCCATTTCTTTCTATATTTATACTGATAGATTAATTAATAAATTAATTCATTCATTCAATCGTTCATTCATTCATTCATTCATTCATTCATTAACTATTTCATTTATTTATTCGTTCAGTCATTCTCCGTTTTGCAATGCCGGCTCGGATAAGTTCAAATGATTTATGTTGTGGAAAAAACTTCCCCTTCTTCATCCCTCACATTCCACAATCTTTCTCTTTCTTCCATCTCCCAATTTTTTCAAAATCTCACATCTTCCAAGCCCTCAAACAGATTTCATTTTCTCAATTCTTACTCTGCTTTTTCTAGCTCGTTCTTTTATTTGCTCATTCATTCAATCATTCATTAGTTCATTCACCAGTTCGTCGGTTCGTATGCACTTACATTCATACATCCCATGCATGCGGGGCGGAAGTATGAATACAAAAGGCCTGGCACGAAAATGTACACACCACACAACCACATTATACACACGCAAA